TTTTTTTTTTTTTTTTTTTTCACCGCAATAGAGACCGTTGCCCCGCGGAATTAATGTCGGCGTTACTCACGCAGCTATTGACCTCGTTGCGAGTCTCTTTTGTCTCGGCGATCGCGAGACGCGAGAGGATCGGCCCGAGTGTTTTTTAAACGCGGCGCCGCCCGCTGGAAATTTGGCGGAACGGAAGTGGATGGCGCGTGGAAACGGGGTTAGCCGTGGTGTGCGTCGAATATTATCGCGACGGACGAATTGTGCTCCGTGCGGTGGAGACCTGTGTGGGTAATGGTTGTTAAATCGCGGGGCTGGAATTTTTTTCCCCCTTTTTTCGGACGGGGTAGGATTTGCGGATGGATGGATGGGTTTCAGTGGGGGTGAATGGAGCTTGGGGGTGGACGTTAACGTGTAGTTAAGTATCTATTGTGTTGGATTAATAGGAGGATGTGAGTTTATTCTTTTTATTCCTGTTTTTTGGCTCCAAGATATAATATATTATTCATGGTACTCGTACTGGGGGTAATGTATTCGGGTGGAGTAATATCTTACGGGAGTGGGGAGTGGGTCATGCAGATTGGTAATATCTCGTGAAATTTTTCGAATTTTTTTCAGAATATCTTCGTGCATTACATACCAAGAGATTTTTCCATAAACCTGGGGCGAAAAATCGATTTTGTACTGGGAAAAATTGCGAGTATTTTCGAAATATAAATAAATTAACCCTCGAGAGGTGACCTTCAGTTACTATTTCATAAAATTTGGAACATCGATATTAATTAGTATATCAAATTTAATGTAATGTAACAGTGTGCGAGGTATCGAAATCAAATAATTCTACATTCTGTTATAATACAATTTTTTATTTACTGCTCAGAAAAGTATCGTCAGTTTTTTTAGTAGAGAATCTTCGATTTTTTACTCTTCTCTAGCCAAAAAATCGTCGAGTGCAAAGGGTTAACACGTTGACTGCCTTTATTGTTGCCCATTGACCGATATTTTACGTGGTTTGCTTATAGTGCAACATGAATTTCTTATTATGCGATGCATATCATGTTGAAATATTATTTACAGTAGATAAGGTGAGTTGTATAATTATGTTCAATGTATTTTTCGCGATGGGGGGGCACCGGTGGTCCCCATGGCGCTGTAACCAAGTCAAGTGCTGCTCACCGGTGACCCCCATGACAGTCAACGTGTTAAAGAGCGGAAACTTCCTGTCAAAAGGTCCCATGGTTTTCTTGAAAAAATTCCCAAAAATGACCTCTTCGATATGGATTTGTAGAAAAATAAATTATTATTCTTTATTGCAACGAGTATATTATAAATTCAAAATGGATTTTGGCATAGGAATTTTTGCGTGAAAGACATTTTTAATAATTTAAGGGAAATAAAATTGATCGATGAGAATTATACATAGCTCTGATTTTCTTATACGTTATCTAAAGGTGAACGAACTTGCTCCTCAGCCTATTGCTCCTTTTCTGATACTTAATATTACTCAACATTGTTTCGTCCTGAGATTTCCAAGTTTGTGAACTTTTGCTCGACATTTCGATTAAATGGTGAAACGGTAAATCATGGTTAATATATCCACGATTATTATCATCGGGATAGGATCACGTGCTTTTCTCTCCGTTATAACTGAACTCCTTGGAAGCTAACATTTCAAGTCGTTATCTGTGGGAGTGTTTAAAACAAATACTTTAACACAACCACCAACATGGAATTCTAACGAGGAATTAGTAACAAAAGCAGAACACCCACAAAGCAACGTTTTATCTGTGATATTCATTATTCATATTCGATGGAAATTGAATTAACGAAACGTATTTCAAACACTCGTTACCAGAGTAGAAAGATCACTGATAGGACTTACGGTAATTTCGTTGCAACGGTACTAAAGTTCCGAATAATAGTAACCACAGTTTTATGGCAGGATCCATACTCGATCTATTTTTAATTTTTCCTCGAGAAAAATTTTCCTCTGACAAGATATTTCATATGGGACGAAGAGACTTTACAGTGACTCTTCATTTTTAATTTCATTTCTTGAAAAGGATCGTTTTCTAATAGGAGGTCTCATCCAAGTTGAAGAGAAGTTACTGAAACTTTCTGTTCTTAATTTTATCTGGAAGCCAGGTATCCCTTAACAAGAAATTTCATTTGAGAAAAGAGGACTTTACCGTAATTTTCTATCTTCCATATTTTTATTTGATAAAGAGGAAAGGAAGACACGTGTTTTTTAATAACAGATTATATAACAGACGAGTAGACTTTATTATACTTTCCTATCTTCAATTTTATCTGAAAGCGAGGTATCCTTTAACGAGAGATTTCATTGTAGAGGAAGGGATTTTACTACAACTTTCTATCTTCCATATTTTTATTTGGAACAGAAGAAGGAAATGTGTTTTCTAATAAGAAATTATATCCGAGATGAATGGACTTTATTATACTTTGCTATCTGCAATTTTATCTGAAAGCAAAGTACCCCCTAACGGGATATTTCATTGGAGAGAAAGGGATTTATTATAATTTTTTATCTTCTATATTTTTATTTGAAAAAGAAGGAAAATATGTTTTCTAATAAGAAATTATATTCGAGATGAATATATTTTAATATACTTTCCTATCTTTAATTTCATCTGAAAGTAAGGCACCCCCTAATGGGAGATTTTATTGGAGAGAAAGGGATTTATTATAATTTTTTATCTTCCATAGAAAACATATTTTCCTCCTTTTTCAAATAAGAAATTATATTCGAGATGAATATACTTTATTATATTTTCCTATCTTTAATTTTATCTGAAAGTAAAATATCCCTTAACAAAAGATTCTATTTGTGAATAAAGGATTTTACTGTAATTTTCTATTTCCAATATTTTTGTTAGAAAAAGAAGAAGAAAATGTGTTTTATAATAAGAAATTTTACTATACTTCCTATTTTTAATTTTATGTAAAAGATAAGTATTTTCTAACGTGAAGCTTTCTCCAAGACGAAGAGGTCTGACAACAGATATTTTTGTGAATTTCAGGAAAGACAAAAGCGGTGCATTCGGATGCAGGCTGCAGCAGGACGTTACCCGTCGCCTCGTCCTGGAACGGACAGGATACGAATTGCAATGGCAATAACAATGGCGGCAACAATTTGGTTAAGAGGGAACCTCTGGCCTCGGTTCCCTGTCAGGTCGCCGAAGTCTCCACGTCCCTTCATGCGACCACCACGTCCGTGAAGATCGAGCCTGTTCCACCGAAGTCGGAAAATGGTGAGTTTTCTACTCGTTACGTGTAATAGTCGTCGAAAAATACGAGGTCGCCATAGTAGGTCACTTTGACATTCTTTTCCCTTTTCTTAGTTCCTTTGATATACTTCGTCTCGTTGATCTGTTGCGCAGATCATGAATTATGCGAATCTGTGTATAGGTAGGAATTTCTGGTTTATTACACTGTTAGTGTAAAATTTGGAATTATTGGAGATAGAAAGTAGTACAAATTGTAAATGTACTTACTGTGAGCCTGAGTTTGAATCTACTACTTCTGACAAAAACATTTGGCCAAACACGATGATACAAAATTATTTGTAATTACATTTTATTTAAATTTATTTGAATAAGAATATCGGTAAATCTCAAATCTAAAAGAATTCAAAAAGTAATTTTAACCCTTTGCGCTCGACGATTTTTTGGCTAAAAAAGGGTACGAGTTGAAAAATTTTCTGCTATAAAGCTGATGATATTTTTTGAATAGTGAATAGGAAAGCGTATAATAATTAACACGTAGAATTATTTAATTTTGATACTTCGCACAGTGCTATATTATCTTAAATTTGATATATTAATTAATATCGATCTTCGAAATTTTAACAAATGGCGACTGAAGGGTGCCTCTCGAGTGCAAAGGGTTAATATATCTAAATCTAAAATTACTCAACAATGCGTGGAATGTCGAGGTAAAATAATTCCACGTCTTAATTTGCATACACTTTCTTATTTACCGTTTTAAAAATATCCTAGATTTTGTGGCAAAAAGTTTACGAATTACTATTTTTCGTGAACGAAAAAACCGCCGAGAGCAAAAGGTTAAATATACCTTTAAATATACCTTCGCTACCATGTTTAACACTTTGGGGCACAGGATTTCTGATTACAAAATGGATCCATGTTGCATAGGAATTTTATTGCGTTATAATAAAACAAAATTGGTATAGAACTAATTTTTATAAAAATTAACTTACTTTTATGATTTTTCACGTAAAACCAGGAGAAAAAGATTGTCGCAATAATTTTATTTATTATTGCATTCATTATTTATCATTCCTAATTTCAATTGCAATACCTGGATTTACCGATACCGATGAAAGCCACTCGATAAAAAGCAGATTCCGATTTTTTATCAGTTTCGAAGTGCCGAAAGATAAGTAACTCGAACCGTAAGCAAACAGAAGAGCCTCGTACCTAGTTGCAATTTTTTCCCCCCTCTCTTTTATCCGAATTTGATCGTTACGGTATCGTCGGTGATTGATGATTCACAAGCGTCGCTTTTTAATTGGAGTTTTGGAAGTTTGCGATGCAAGGGGTTTTAATGGGTCGTTAGAGGGAACGCAACGAAATCTTTGATTTCGTTTTGGCGTTGGTCGTGAAACTAATTTGAGGGCCGTGGAACAAGTTTCTTGGTCGATATCTGGATTCTGCTCTGCTTAAAGTAATTCCGTAAGGAGTTTCAAATAGAATTGTTCGTTGAATTCGCGCGGAAACTTTCTTTGGTCGCTTTAACACGCCATTGTATCGCTGGAATTTATTCCCCGTTAATTTACTTTGCTACCCTTTACACGTTTTGTTCCATAGAATAATCTATTTAATTTTCGCGTTTAATATTCGAACGCGAGAAAGCGTAGGGAAACATAGGGAAGGACGGGGAACAAAACGAAACGTCAGTTCAGTCCGGGTTTATTAATTTTCGTTTCATTTGTTACAACTTTTGTCGCATACTCGGTTTAATTACACGTTAAGTAGAGTTTCCGGCAAGTGGTAATCCGAAGGAAAAATTCCTGTTTCGCGACAGAGAGGAAACGATATCGGGTTCAAATCGATGCGAAAATAAATTGCAAGTTAATTATTCCCGTGTAATTGCTTGCATTTCGAATCAATTACGTCGATGCTTTTGATGTTGTTTTACTCTGGGTTCACGTTCGGAAATGTATTTAAATTTATTTATTTCACCGTGCACTTTTTTTGGCAGATTTATAAAATTTTTAGGGGTAGAGATGGGGAATGAAATATTTAAATAAAAGTAAATTTGATGGGAATGCAAAGTTATTAATGGAAAAATTCGTTTTATGAAGGTATTTAATTTTTCGTTTGTTTTAATGCAGTTTCAAGTGACGGAGGTTGTGTATGTATATCGAGTAGTACCTGACTCGTGTCTGCGTCGACTATTCTCGACGTCGCCTATTCCATGTCCAAAATTAATCGGCCACTCAAGGTCGCTTCCTCCACTTCGGGAGCAGTCGCATGTGATTTCTTGTTTCATATTTCAATACTCGTCTCGACATGCAGGAAACACGAGTTTACGACGTGTCACTTCCATATTTTCTCTTTTTAGCGCCAGAAGGACGAGTTTATTCGAGCGACTGTTATTTAGAAATTATTATTTCTCGGTTTTAATTAAATTTTAATTATAGAAGAGTGGTTGGAAAAATGTTAACGATTGCTTCTGAGACATAACATGAGAAGGACCAGAGATAAAGGGAAATATATTAATATGAAATATTAATATACCTGTTCGTGTAACTCACCTAGTAAATATTGCAGTAGAGTCTTGAAATTATTCGAAAATAAGATTGTCAAACTACTTAACAAACGAACTAAACTCGATAATTTATCTAAACATGCTTGTTCCGTGATAAACCGACGGATTGCCAAGGAGGACCTCGGTACATACAAAACAATTGCCAAATGTCTATAGTACATTTGCAACTATTCATAGAAATTTTATTACTAAATTAAATATTAAATATTGTATATAATACATTGATAATAATAATTGGGTGTTATATAAAATATATAATATTTAATTATAACAAATTATATATATAATTATATATAATGTGACAAAATATATGATGTCCATGATAGTCGTGTATCTTTCACATACCAGTCACGTATGTGGAAGTAACACACTTAGCTATTCTATTTTAATATATTTTAATATATAATATAAAACATCATATATAGTCTTGCATTTAATAAATATCATATTTGAAAATATAATATACTAAGTCATCAATTCTTAATATATTATACAATATAACACAATATAATGAATATCATATATAACGTATAATATTAATATAATAGCTGCATGTCACACATATCCATCACATATTACACACTAAAATTCAATATAATAAGCCACCTAGTCTTAATATATAACATATATAGTGTTTATATCATATATATAATCATACACCATATCACACGTATCACACGTAACATACGTAATATTTACACAATATATAACATACACAACATACCATACCACATCACACATAACAATAAACCTAACACAAACATATATCAAACCATCCTACCTTAATATATAACATACGTAGTATTTATATCGTACATATAATCACACACCATATCAAACATAAAATACGTAATATTTATGCAATATATATATATAATACACAATTACCATATCACATCACACGTAATGAATCTACCAGAAACACAAACACATACCAAACCTATCTTAACACTGAACCTACCAGGCCCCCCAAAAATAGTCTTTTCCATGTGTTCAATTAAAAATTTCATTGTCCTTTTGACCACATATCTTTACAATTTTTCTTTTAATACAGGTTCAATCAATTTCCCGATGTCTCCTCGAGTTCCATTTTTCTGAAGAATCTCTAATTCTATTTCCTCGTCTACCGGTCATGACAGGTCCATTGTCAAGACACGATCTTCTACGCACGCATTCCACGCCGAATCTCACGAAACACAGGACTCGCAACGGAATTCCTCCGGTTCCTCCGCGGTCGTAGCTGTCCTCGAGGTTGCAGGAAGTCTCGAGCGGACAGCTGTTGCTGAAGATCGCGCGGCGTGACGTGTCGTGTCGTAATTAACGATCGTAATTCAGCCCCTCGCGTTATCTGCCGGCCGACTTAGCCCGAGAGGGACTGCCGACAGTCGTGGACGTTATTCAATAATCGAAATTAAGATCCGCGGCCGCGATATACCCGCCGGCGAGCTATCCGCGTCACTTTGCCCACGAGGATCCCGGTGAACGTTGTTAGCGTTATCGATTAGTGCAATTAGGACTGGAAATGCCCGAGACGTGTGCCCGTGGCCGGGTAATAGCGACTTTTTCTCGGCAGGAATTTCGCAGGGACGCTGTCGGGCATGTAATTAAGCGATTTACATTTTAACGGCAAGTCAGATCGTTTGCACTTATCGAGAGGCTCGTCCCGACGCTTTTCCCTCTTTCGCGATGTCGGTGATGCTGGGACGCTTGTGAAAAAATTCTTCCTTTCTCGGCCAAGTCTCGAATGGAAACTCTCCTTTATTTTATTCTCTTTCTGCTCCTCTTCGAGCATTTTGCACTGGGGAAACTGCCCGGAGAGTCAGGGAAAGAATTATGTGTTTTTGGGGCTCGCGATGGTTATGATAATAGGCGAAGTTGTATCGGTTAAAGTCGTTTCGGAGTTTCCAGTTCTTACACAGAGGTTTTATAGGGTTTCAGAGAGATGGAGCAATTTTTTGGACGCTCGTTTGGGATCCCGATTTTGTCAGACGTTGATGGCGATAACGAGAAGATTTTAAGGAAATTAAAGCTCTCTGATCGTGTTTGGTTAAGGATTTATGAGAGTTCTGTTAATATAAAGGAATGAATGTTTAGGTTAATACTTATTATTTGGTTGTACCATTTGTTAATTGATTTTATTAATTTTTGTTAAGCTCTTGATCAATTTTTTAGCCAAAGGTTTCCTTTTATTTTGTTGCTCATCAATACTAGCTATCTCAGGTACCAAAAAACAACAATTAATAGCTGACAACGAATAATTAAAAATAAAAAAGTAGGAAACCAGAACTCAGGATACAGGATAGTGGAGTGAGAGTAACTATCTAATGTATAGCAATAATAATTTTTGGCTCATTTTATCCGTGAAAATCAGTGCTATGTAGAGTACCTTCCACACCACTGTTATCTCTCTTAGCTAATAGCAAATAACAGCTAATAACTGACAACTAATAATTGAAAA